ATATGAAGTGGAGGAAAATTCCATGGCTTGGGTTGGGGCACTTTAGACCTCAAAGTGTCATCTTTGTTTTTAAAGAGGTCTTTTGCAGCCCAATGTAAAACATCTTTTGATTTCTTGACTGCTGCTTCCATAAATGTTGATTGTGAATCCAAGCAAAATGAAGTCCCTTACAACTTTAATATTTTCGTTTATCAGAATGTTATTTACTGGTCCAGTTCTGAGGACTTTTGTTTTCTTTACATTCAGATGCAGTCCATACTGGAAGCTGTAGTCTTTGATCTTCATAATAAGCATTTTAACTCTTCTTTGCTATCATCTGCACAGCTCAGGTTGTTAATGAGTCTTCCTTTAATACTGATGCCACATTCTTCTTCATATAATCCAGCTTCTCAGATTATTGTTTTAGCAGACTGAATAAGTATGTTGAAAGAATACAACCCTAGTGCACACCTTTCCTGATTTTAAACCATTCAGTATCTTCTTATACTGCTGAAATGACTGTATACTGCTCTATGTACTGTTTTCTCAAGAATACAATGAAGAGCTCTGGAATACTCATTCTTTGTAATGCTAGCCATAGTTTGTTAAGATTTACACAGTGAAAGTAGTTTGTTTTTTACTACACAACTGCCTTTGCATTATCAAGAAAGCACAGGTAAACATCTCTCTGCTATTCTTTGCCTTTAGCCAAGATCCATCTGATGCCAGCAATGATATCCCTCATTATCCGTCCTCTTCTGAATCCAGCTTAAACGTCTGGCCATTTTGGATTATCTTCAGCAAAATTTTGCTTGCATGTTATATTAAGGATCAACTATTTATGCATTCCATTGGGACACCGTTTTTTATTTTTTTGAATGGGCACAAATATGGGTCTCTTGCAATTGGTTGGCTAGGTGGCTGTCTTCCAAATGTCTTGGCATAGACAAGTGAGCGCCCTCCAGTGCTTCATTAGTTTGTTGGAACATTTAAATTTGTACTGATTTCTTGGAGCCTTGTTTTTCACTAATGCCTTCTGTGCACGGGACTGCTTTCAATTCTTGATTCATATGCTACCTCTTGAAATCAACCAATTCCTTTTAGTATAGTGACTCTGTGATTTCATTCTGTCTACTTTTGATGCTTCCTGCATCATTCAATATTTTGCCCAATAGAGTCCTCCAATATTGCAGGTGGAAGCTTTAATTTTTTCTTTAGTTTTTCAGCTTGAGGAATACTGATCATGCTCTTCCTTTTTGTTTTTCTAATTCCAAGTCATTGCATTTCATTGTAATGAGTCTTCTTGACTTTGTCTTCTGGAGCTGCCCTTTGAAATTTTCTGTTCAGCTCTTTTACTCTTCATTTCTTTCAGTTGCTTGTCTATGCTGAAGAGCAAGTTTCCAAGTATCTGCTAACATCCACTTTGGTCTTTTTTTTTCTTTCTTGTCATCTTTGGCTTCATGGATTATGTTCTTGATGTCATCCCACAACTCTTCTGGTTTTTGGTTACTAGAGTCTAATGTATCATATTTGTTCTTGAGATGATCTAGAGATCATTCATGTGGGATATATTCAAGGTCATATTTTGGCTCTTGTGGACTTGTTTTCATTTTCATTAGCTTCAGCCTCAATATGCATACAAATAATTGGTGATTTGTTCCACAGTTGACACCTATCCTTATTTTGGTTGATATGAAGCTTCTCCATAGTCTGTTCCCACAGATGTACTCAATTTGATTCCTGTGCAGTCCATCTTATGAGGTCCACAAGTATAGCTGCCATTTAGGTTGATGAAAATGGTATTTGCCAC